AGGCTGCTCTCTATCCCAGCTTTCCTGGAGCCCATCCCTGGTCTTTGGGAAAGGGACAGGTTCCACCAAACCAGAGACTAGCCCTCAGAGTTACCCTGACCAACATACTGAATGCTCACTTCACTCCCAAAAGGCAGATGCCAAAAGCTGCCTGAAGGAGAGCATGGTGACAGAAGAAAGGGGCCTGACTGGAGGCATTAGCCCACAACAATCTGCCACCCCCACCCCACCCTTGGGACTGTGAGGGATCCAGATGGCTAGACTAAGGCTGCTGTTATCTGTGCTCTCTGGGCCAGGCTACGACAGGACTGGCTACCTTCAGGGCTCTGACTGACACATCTTCTCTTTGATGGGCTAATTATTTGATATGGTTGTCCTCGGTTGTTTGAGTAGTGACTTTTCCCATCTCTGCTGGGATCCTGGGGATGGGGTCACTGTGGTCAGCTCATGACAAGCACTGTCCCCTCAAAATACCTGGCATGCTGTAACATGCTCTTCTTGGAATTCTCTCTCCCTTGGCTTCCGTGAAGGGTCAGAGAAGCCTCAGAATCTCGTGAATCTGCTGTTTAACTCCCTGCTGGCATGTTAGGTATTTTTACAATTGTTCTGAAATCCCATTATCTCAGCCTTCTGAACAGGCTCAGTGTCTCGTGCTGACTGAATACGTGACTGACCACCAATCCTCCCCTGCCGGCCTCACTCGTGGGGATGCCAGAGAGCCCTGGGCTGCGGGCTCTCCGAAGCCTGCTCCTCTGACTTCAACGCGCTCTCTTCTCCTGAGGCCAGGACCGTGGGAAAAGCACAGTGATCGCAAAAATAGAATGGAATGGTCTTGGCCACACTGGATAATTGTAAACAGTGAATGATGTTTCAAAGAAAAACAAAAGTAAAAATTATAGCATTGATGAGCTGGGAGAAGCTCAGTTAATTTCACTCATTCTAGGTAGCCAGCACTTCCCACAGGTGTAATTTTACACTCACCGGTGTTATTATTGTTATTATTTGCTTAATTCATTCAAGCAAATAATATTTCACTATTTAAATAAATATTTATTTATTGAATACCCCTTTATTTATTGTAGATGCTTGGGTTACATTCATTATCAAAGCAAAGACCCTGTCCTCCAGGGGCTTACATTCCAGAGAATTGGTGGGGGAGGTAGAGGACAGCAAACAATGGACTCAAAAATCTCAAAGTGACAGAGAATGTTAAAGGTGGTAAGTGCTAAGGAGCAGAAGCCTAAGAGCAGGTTAAGCATTGCTGGGGGTTGGGGGATGGCTGTGGTTCTCAACAGAGCAGAGGCAACCTCTGCGGGGAACATTCCAGAAGGAGCAACTAGCAGAGGCCTATGGGAGGAACAGGCTGGAGCCAGGCAGCTGGAGCAGGGCAGAGGGGAGGGCAGGGAGAGGAGGTCCAGGAGGTACCAGCCTGGTCACTGGCTCACTATATGGCGTTGGGCTTTTAAGAGAATGAAATGGGAGCAGGGAATGGGAGTGGTGCCCTGTGAGAGCCCCAGGAAGGCAGGGTCTGCAACCTAATGCCTAGAACAGGGCATGGCACCTGGCAAGAACGCAAAAATTCCACTGGAATGAATGAACGAATTCATGAATCCCAGCCCGGAGACTGTGCCTATACTTCCCCAGAGAGATCGGACTGGAGGTACATTTGGACAAATCTACTTCCAATCTGGTCGTTGCATCTGAACCAGAGCTTCATATCCTTATCAGCTGGGGAGTTTTCTAACTCTTTATACCCAGACAACCTCCCCAAAAGTCTTAATTATCAGGCTGGATGGAGGAGGGTCCTGAGAGGGGCCCCCATGTGTAGGTGATTCTCACCTGTACCCCCTCCCTAGTGAGAAACATCAGTCTCGGCTATTTCCAAATACTCAACACCTGGCATCGTATCCAGCCCCACGGCACACATTTAATGAATGAACAAATGTTTGTTGACTGAATTCATGGACATTTAAATGCATGGACAGGGCTAATTGCCTTTTTTCAATTTTCAACTCAGATGTCTGAGGTTGCATAAAGAAATAGCATTCCAGAGAGCATGGGAATGGGAAGGCTGAAGCCATTGTTATCTCTGTCCCTCCACCCTCATCCCCCAGAAACATGCCATTACCTATTATCTGGGTCTCTTGTGCTTTTTTGACTTTGATCATATCTGTCCTGAACAAGGGGTAGCAAGGGGAGTTTAGGGATTCTGAAAGCAACTCAATGTATTTCTCCAGAGCTCCGAGCCAGCAGAGCCTCTCCTCAGATGAGAGGGCTGCTGAGGAGTGAGGCTTTGCTACTAGATGGCCCAATGCTCCCAAAGAAAAAGGTTCATGAGCCTGGAGAGCCAAGGAGTGGGGTGGCCAGAGGGACAAAGGGAGGCAGCCTGTTCACTTCCCTTTCCGTGCAGGAGGGGCTTGCCCACATTCCAGGGTCAGGTATGAAATTCTGCTGCAGGAAATGCTGGGGCTTTGAGGACAGTCATGTCCACCACTTCCCTTCTCACTGCTTGGCCCAGCTTCCCTTCTGTGGAGCCTGGGGCTCCAGCTTAGGGTGCCTGGGTCTCACAGATTCCTGGCCTCTTGCTTGCAGGTGCTGGCTGCCAGAAATTTTTGCATATCAACAGTAAAGAGCTCCTTATTATCTCAACATACTTGGAATAAACATAGCCATTTTTTTTTCTCTTCCCAGAATTCAATAAAGGCCAGAAATTCCACAGGGCATCTGACTCAACTTCTATTTTCTCTGTTCTCTTGTTTCCCACCCCGCTCCCCAGCATCACACCATAACCTTGAAAGGGCAAGATCGGGTGCTCCATAGCCAGGCAATGAAGCCACTGCTGCACCTGGTGCCCAGGAGTCCCTTGACCTCTTTCAGGCCAGGGCCCACCTGTACACCCCACTGAGGGGTCAACTTTGTACTCAGGAGACTGGGAAGTGAGCAGGGGAGGGCCTAGGACAGAAGTCAGGCAGCCAGGGTTCAAATCTGCTCCTCCACTTATCTACTGTTGGCAAAGGAGTTACCCTCTCTGAGACTCAGTTTTCTCACGCCTAAAAGACGTGTGTCAAAAGTTTCTTCCTCTTAGAGTGGATGTAAGGATTGAATGGGTAATGCGCAGAGAGCACTTCATAAACAATAGCTAGCGACTGCATCTTCATTAATGTGGAGCACTTTCCTATTCCAACTACTGCGGAAGGATCCAGGATCCTGAACTGAACTAGATATGTGCCAGGCCCGAAGAGACCACCTCGGCAAGGAGACAGACAAGGAAACAGGAGGCTTTGGGTTTTGCATGATTAAATGTGTGATTCAATTAAATGTGTGATTCAAGATAGAGAGGAAGGTGGGATTAACCCTTTACAAAGAGTTCAAGACAGTTTCACAGAGGAAAGGGACCCCTAAAAAGGCTGTCAAGGTTGAATAGGAGTCCTTCGGACAAACAAGGGAGAGAGGACATCACAGGGACATCACATCAGAGGGGAGGGGAGGGAAGGAGACAGAAGGGGAGGGGAGGG